GGTTTCGCCGGCCCTGGGGACAGGACGGGGCCGGGAGTTCGGCGTTGCATAGGTTCCGTTTCCTGTGACTGGGGCAGGAAGGGTTTGCAAACTCTCTGCGTTTCATGCTGCTCCTTGGGTGCTCGAAGAGCTGTGTAAAGTACTGTGTGCTAAGCCAGCATGATGCTCGTGAAATGAGGAAAAAAAACCCACCAAAAACAAAACAAAAAAAACCCCAAAAAACCAAAAAACCCAAAACGAAACAAAACACAAACCACGGAGGAAAAAAGGTAGGAAGTACCGATAAAAAGAGAGTCTTGCATGTTGCCTCTTTGTACTATAGAAACTGGGGGTGTGACTGAATATCCAAACCACCTACACTCCAGGGATGCCACCCAATCGCTGCCTGTGTGCTTTGCAGAACTCCTCCCCGCCCGTCTTGGCTAAGCGGAGACCTTTGGAGAAACTGCCTGTTCTGGCTCATACAGGCTGTAACATATAAAAGCTGTTAGCAGCTCCTGTGGCCAGAAGCTTCAAAACCGGCAGAGTTTTGTTCTTTGGGGGGTTGTAATAAGAGACACCCCTTCACAAAGGTTCATATCATCATATAGGAGAGTGCTATATATACTGGGAGAACAATAGACTGTATTCTTTTTTTTCTTGGTATTATCCAGAGGTAAGCCATTCAGCTCAATAAGTTTGCTTTGCATGCAGTTTTATCAATGCTCATCACATTTTGCTGAAGTTAAGATTTGAATGCTGTTTTTAAGATGTCCTGCTTTCATGCTTTTTACATGGTCTTTTGCCTACTAGTTTGTCTGTGCCACATTGTGTCAAAACAATCCATGCATATGGGGTAGGCATAGCCTGGGATGTATTTCTGCACTTTAAGTGGAAAACATTCTGTGAAGTTCCTTCCAGTCTCCCCATTTAAGATTTATAGTGTGGTTTATGGACTGATCTGGTGTGATAGCTCTGTCACTATTTCAGGAATACTACTAGCTCTGAACATGTATTTCATAGTATAATGATACTTCATTTGGTGTGTTTGTAGTAAGAACATATTATCACTTTATATGGTTATTGAAAATTGCTCAGTAACAGGTGTTGACTGGATTGTTTTTATGATTGAGCTGACAGACAGAATCATTTTTCTGATCACAGCCTGCCAGTTCACTTTGTCTTGCTACCCACATGTACAGACTCACATCTTTGACATCTTCTCTTCTACAGATCTGTTTTCTACTGCCCTGACTTAAAGCAGAGTACCTCTGTGGCCTATCTTTCTCCTTTGGCCCCAAAATGACAGTAATCGCTGCAATCAGTTGTGCTTTATTATTTTCCATTCTCTGTGAAACAAGTGCATTAGTGTTGCCCAACTCCACTGACCTACTCCTGTCAGACAATAATTTCACTGACATTGAGACAGCTTTGGCAGCTCATCTGGACTCTGCAAAAATCCCCAAAGCCAGGCGGAAGCGCTACATTTCGCAGAATGACATGATTGCCATTCTTGATTATCATAATCAAGTCAGAGGCAAAGTCTTCCCACCTGCCTCCAACATGGAATATATGGTAAGTAAACTTTATTTATTTCAGAGTAAAACAAACTGTAAGTCAGTGATTTCATTTTCTTAAACAAATTGTAAGGGTTTAGTTAAGTAGACAAATTATTTGTAACTATTATTGCTTACTAAGATGTTCTTTCCTTACATTTTTTAAGTAGCATTAACTTAAGCAAGCAAAAGCTAAATACTGAACTCTGAACCTCTTACTTGCCCTGTAGAATTTTCATTTCCGTGAGTAGTTCCAATGAAGTTTCTTGGATGCAAGTAAATGGAGTTGTGAGTTAAATGCTTGTTCACCTGAAGTACAGTATGTGATCACAACGTGTGATTGTATATGTTTAAAGTGCTAATCATTAGTAATTCCATTGCTTTTGTGGAGTACACTGAAAGTTGTACTGTTTGCAAAAAGATAGCCAATGACCATTTTAAATTTCTTTCATACATAATACTTTTGGAGACAATAGGGTAAAACTGTGTTTGCAAAGTAATTAATCTCATACAGTGTTGGTCTCATGCTGATGTGTTTTACTTACTGAATATTGTTTGTGTACACCTAATACTTTTATTTTTCCATCAAATACAATGCTAGTTTCTCCAGTATGTTATGTTTGTGGCAAGCACCTTTTTCCCTTATTGGCAAATACTCATGTGAATTATCTGTTCCTGCAGGTATGACAGAAGTTATTCATTCACTGTGATTTCATACTTGGCACTGCTAGCTAAAGCAGCATGTTTGCTGTTTTGTGTTCCAACTTTGAAAGCATGCATGCTGTGTACCTCTAATACATAGGTTAAACATACGTTGGCCAAGCAAAATTTTTTTTAACCTTCTAAGTTAGGTATTCACACTGTTCTGAAAGCACAGGCAAGTTGTGTCAGCACCATAATGTCTGCTCAAAGGCACAGAGTTTCTCGTATGACAACAGATGGTTAACAAGTTTGAGAAAACAGGACACCATCAGCTTGACATAAAAAGGGGATAATAGGAATAACAACTCCTCCTTTTTCGCAGCTAATGACTAACAATTTGGACATCTTTCTATCACAGATGTTACCTAAATCTGGATTTGATCATATAATCCACTTAGCACATCCCAGTAGCACCTCAAAATGCTGAGTGCACTCAAAATGTTGCAGGATGAAGGCCTGTTGCCATACCATAGGCTGAGTTTGAAGTTTGGTTAAGCAGAAAGGTCAGAGACAGAAAAAACAGAGAGGTCAGAAGTCAAGCTCAGTCATCATTTTCATCGCTGTGCTCTCCACTGACGTTTCCTTTGATTCTGCATAAATAAACTTTGTTGTAATGTCTGAGGGAATGGCAGCCTACCATGCCCTTCCTTGGCTTGTGTGTTTTAGAAATGTGCTCCTGCAGTTTGCTTAAGTGAAGCCAGCACCCTGTCTTATTCCCAAGAGTTTTGTAGGTGCAGTGTTCTCAGCTGGTTCAGTAAAAAAAAAACAAAAAAAACAAATCAAAACAAAACCACCAAAAAACCCAACAAACTTCAAAAGAGAAAGCATTCTTCTATGATTAAATCTTTTTTAATACATGCATATGCATTAACTGACAAGGTTTTACCTATATTAGTTGGGTGTTCTGCTGCAGCTTTGCTCTGCAATGGTACTGTGCAAGGTTTGATACAGCATCAGGACTGAAGCCATCCTCAGTACAGCTTACATACTATTCATTTACTTATCATTCTTACTATTGCTGTACCAGTACCAACCGTCCATTGGATGTACCTGCGCTTCCATCAACATCAGCCCCATCAGTAGTCTCATGGACAAGTGCTAAGGCTATCTTTTGCATTTTATTTCACAGTCTGAAAGTACTTTGTGACTTTATGCTGCAGAATTCAGAGTAGCACCTCAAGCTACATAGGTTATGATCCAGAGTACAACTTGAACTTGGATCCCCAATCAGAATTTCATCCGCCAATCTTTAATCGGTCTGTGTTTATCCCTTGTAACTTTACAGAGGAAAAAAAGCCTAGTGAGCAACATCACACATAGCTTGCTCTGACATCTGCTTTGTAGCTATGGCAGCATCTGTTTAACTTTTTACCTTTGTGGCTACAGAAAGGTTTTGGTAGGAAGGTCTTGAAGATGACATGGTGCTGTAAAGCTTACCAAGACTGGGGAGTCCTGTATCAGTAATGCCCATTTGAATTTACTTGGTCCATTCTTTGGTCTCTGTATAGTTTCAATGTATGGCACAGCATCTCTTATGTCTTGTGGGGACATAAGATTGCTGCTGTTTCATATAAAAGATGTTGTGTCACTCAATACTCAGTTTCATAAAAAAGACAACAAACACATTGTCATTCCCAGAAGACAACATGCTCTATGCTTGAAAGAACCTTACGGAGTGTGTGTTCCTGTCCTGAATACTATGGAAAAGGGCAGTGGTAGTGATGAAAATGGCCTTTCCCGTTTCCCCTAACAATGACTAAAAGGGCTGGAATTACAGATGCAGTAGATTGTGGAAATCTCTTGTAAGTGTGTTTAACTGGAGAAGGACTAAGCAGTTTGGAAGCACAAAGAAAAGATTTTTTATCATCTTTTCTGTGTCCACAGTCATATTAAAGTGCGTTTTGTTCTTTTTTTTCCTAATTCTGTTAGGAACTCTGTTCTTCTCATGAATTGCTGCATCACATTCTCACTTCTGTACAGTTCCATTTGTTTTTTCTTCTCCACTGGTAAGAACTCATGGTTTAGCTGTATGGGTTGCTTCTTGTGATTCTAGTTCTGCATACCCAACCTTTTTTGGGGCTTTTCTCCTTGACACATTCGTTCCTTACTGTGGTGCAGTCTGCTTCTTGTGCATTCACTGTATTTGTAGATACTTCAAACAACTTGATTATTCTGTCCGCCCCTACTGTCTTCAGAGTTTGTGTGCTGTAAGACTAGGGATGAGAAGTCTTGAAGAATGGCTTTGAATGCACATTCATTAGGCAGGGGAGGTTCAGATGAACACTGCAATGACAGAACTGCGGAAGTGTTTTCTTTCTCTTTGTGAGAGGTGGGTCTCAGTGCTGCTTCAGCCTGCTGTTGTATGCAGTCCCCAGTGTACGTGAACATCTGGGGAGTCAAAGCAGTGGTGGGAGGCATTGCTCTGTTATCAATATCTAGCAAAAGAAAATGGTGTGTCTTATGCCAATGTGACTTTGAGTAGTCTTTCTCTTGGGATATTAACATCCCATGTGTCAGACTTTAAAGTACTTCTTTTAGTTCTGGTTCTGATATTGCTGATGCCTTCAACTGGAAGTTTTTCTGCAAGTACAAGTCTAGAGTTGGTGCGTATGTGAAGGAAAGTGAAAGAGAAAGGAAACAACTTTAAGACCTATAATGTCATTCTTCAGTCTCTGCTTGTGCTCTAAATGCTGATGCCTTGCCTGCTGAAAGAAAGATTACACTGTCCTTTTGACCTGGCAAAGAGTGAAAATCATCCACTTGGCTTTGCACACTTTTTCTGGAGAAAGCAGAAGGGTTCCTTAAAATTAATGATTCAGAAGTGAGGTGTAGAATTGCCTGCAGCTGTCTAGTGTGAAAGGTGTGTAAATATGCAAATCCAGGGGAAGTCTGTGAAGAAGCAAATCCCATTCTCTGTTAGAGGCTGGTGTTGCCTTTCTGGAACATCTCAGCTGTTTGGCAGGCCAGTAAAGATTTGCAATATGTTGCCAGATGAAATTTGAGTCTTGTAAAACATGTAGTTTAGTATGCATTGGTATGATCTTTATGCTTCTGAAATATTCATTAATGAAATACCTGTTCCTATGAGAATTAGGTGTTATTTTTACCTTCCCTGCAATCATCCCCCCTTGAGGCCAATTCTTTGTTGTAACTCATGTCACTGTGTATGCAAACACTGGTCAAGCAGGTGCTTACATACAGGTATGCTCTTTATGGTTTCGCGTGCACCAAGCAGTAACTCTGTAGCTGGGCCTTAATGAGCATTGAACACTGTCCTCCATGGCATTCCCATAGTCATAGTGGGAAAATCTATTCTATTAACAGTCTCTACAAGGATGAATCCTGGACCCAGTATTAATCAACATAGTTGTTAGTAGACTGGCAGTAGCATGTCTGAAGTATAATAGATGAGGCAGGATTTCACACTCAAAAACGTGAAGCTGAATGTTTGTGAAATGCTGTCTGAAGATTTTAAGAACAGAATAATGCTCCAGATTAGCTTGAGCTTGCTTATGTATAGAAGAGGTTCTGATATAGTTTCAATTCCTTTTTGTTCAGTGATTGCATAAATGCACTTTCATATTTGGGAAAATCTGCCCCTTGTTGAGCGTCACTTTGTAGGATTTTGTAGTAAAAGATCCCCAGACTAGAAATGAGTGAGTTCGGATACCCAGGAGTTATTATTTCATGGCAACCATCATGAGCTGGTGACTGAGGAACTGGAAGGGAATGGAGAATCTGAGCCTATTAATTACTAGTAAGACCACATGAAAGACCGTGATAAAATGGACAAAGGAAAACAGTTTTTATAGAATAAAAATAGTTGTGTTCCAAAAGAAGCTCCTGTAGTCCTGTGAGGGAGCCCATGTGAGTCACGGGGGAAATCTGTTAACTCTCTGTGGCCCAGGGGTGACCCTCTTTGCTGAGGTGATGATTTTGGAGACTGTGCTTGCTTCCTGTCCACGAAGATCTGCAGACAACTTATAAAATCAGGTCAAAGCAAGAAAATAGCCCACTTAGTCATCACAAATGTAAATAACTGCATTATTATTTCACTCCTAAATTTGAAAGTCTTGATAAAATTTTCTTTCTCTCACAGTGATCTTAAAAATGCTCTGTGGATACGCAGTAGGTGATGGGTAAGACAAAATGAAAAAAAAAAACAAACCTGCTTCAGGTTTTCCAAAGTCCTATTTAATACCTAAAGCCTTTTATATGGACATGGAAAAATGAGTGAATTTGGTTCTCTCTCCAGTTCAAATGCATTTCTGATAAATATGCTTCTCAACATATTTACCTATTTTTTGCTTTTCTCTG